CAACTACTGAGCCTGTGCTCTGGAGCCTGGGAGCCACAATTACTGAGCCCGCGTGCCACAACTACTGAAGCCTGAGCGCCTAGAGCCCATGCTCCGCAAGAAGAGAAGCCCTGCTCGCCGCAACTAGAGAAAGCCCGCGCACAGCAACAAAGACCCAATGCAGCCAAAAATAAATTGAAAAAAAAAAAAAAGAATCTGCCTGTCAATACAGGAGACACGGGTTCGATCCCCAGTCCAGGAAGATCCCACATGCCACGGAGCAACTAAGCCTGTGCACCAGAACTACTGAGCCTGTGCTCTACAGCCCGCGAGCCACAACTACTGAGCTGCGTGCCTAGAGCCCATGCTCGCAACAAGAGAAGCCACTGCAATGAGAAGCCCGTGCACTGCAACAAAGAGTAGCCACCGCTCACCACAACAAGAGAAAGCCCACGCAGAGCAGAGACCCAGTGTAGCCATAAATAAATAAATAAATTTATTAAAACAAACAAAAAAACGGAAGGTAAGATTTGGTGAGGATATAGAGAAACTGGAACACTTGTGTACTGCTGATGGGATTATAAAGTGGCCCAACTGCTATGGAAAACAGTATAGAGTTTCCTCAAAAAATGAAAAATAGAACTACTATATGATCCAGCAATCCCACTCCTGGGTATATATCCAAAAGAATAGAAAGCAGGGTCTCAAAGAGATATTTGCACACCCATGTTCACAGCAGCACTATTCACAACAGGCAAGAGGTGAAAGCAACCCAAATGTCCACTGATGGATGAATGAACAAAATGTGGTATATACATGCAATGGAATATTATTCAGCCTTAAAAAGGAAGTCTTGTCACATGCTACAGTGGGGATGAACACTGAGGACATTATGCTAAGTGAAAAAATCCAGCCACAAAAGACAAATAATATATAATTCCACTTATATGAAGTACCCAGAGCAGTCAGATTCATAGAAACAGAATGTAAAGTAGTGGTTACCAGAGGCTGGGGGTGGGTAGGGGAGTTGTTGTTTAATGGGTATAGAGTTTTACATTTGCAAGATGAAAAAGCTCTGGAGATCTGCTGTATGTCAACGTGAATACACTTAACGCCATTGAACTGTACACTTAAAAATCACTAAGATGATAAATTCCATGCCATGTGTTTTTCTATCACACACACACAAAAGACAATTGAGATAATCGGAAAAACTGAAAACTAACTCTTAACACAGTTAACTGCATTTGAATCCTAAAGTTACTTATAATAGATACAGCCACCTAATCCTCAGACAGTGGAAAAAATACTTTTATTAAGAGGTAGAAAAACCTTACTTCTAGCCCCAAGTCCCCTAACTAGGTATAAGATGATATTAAAGAATTACTGTGAATTTCATCAGCTATAACAGCATTATGGATATGCTTTTTTTAAAAGGATTCATACTGAAGCATTTGGGGGTGAAATTATATTTTCTAAGATTTGCCTTAATATACTCCTGACAAAAAAGAAAGAGTGAAGGGCTGGGGTAGATGAGAAGGAACAGTAGAATAGTCACAAATGTTGAAGCTGGGTGATGGGGATTCTGTTGCTGCTCTCCCTAGTTTGTGAATACTTCCAAGTTTTCACAATAAAAAGCTTTTAAAAAGAACAAACAAGGGGAAAAACGGATGGTCGGACGGATGGATGTTTGGAATGAATGGCAGTAGGATTAATGTATTGAGGTTTTATAACAATAGTATCCCAGGGCTTCCCTGGTGGTGCAGTGGTTGAGAATCTGCCTGCCAATGCAGGGGACACGGGTTCGAGCCCTGGTCTGGGAAGATCCCACATGCCGCAGAGCAACTAGGCCTGTGAGCCACAACTACTGAGCCTGCGCTCCACAACAAGAGAGGCTGCAATAATGAGAGGCCCGTGCACAGCAATGAAGAGTGGCCCCTGTTTGCCGCAACTAGAGAAAGCCCTCGCACAGAAACGAAGACCCAACACAGCCAAAAATAAATAAATAAATAAATAAAAATTTAAAAAAATATATATAGTATCCCAGTACACAGGCTATAGTTACTTTTTTTTTTTGCGGTATGCGGGCCTCTCACTGCTGTGGCCTCTCCCGCTGCGGAGCACAGGCTCCGGACGCGCAGGCTCAGCGGCCATGGCTCACGGGCCCAGCCGCTCCGCGGCACATGGGATCTTCCCAGACTGGGGTACGAACCCACGTCCCCCGCATCAGCAGGCAGACTCTCAACCACTGTGCCACCAGGGAAGCCCTATAGTTAATTTTTAGAAAGCTTTACGTTTCACTTTAACTTGCATTTAACAGATTTTTAAAAAGAAATTAGAATGAAATTGAAAGCATTTTCAAGCTTCAAGTAAATGTTTCTCACCACCTCCCCCGGCAATAAATCAACAAATCAAAGAAGGTAAATGAGTGAAGAACAGGGAACAGAGGTACCAAGGGGGCCGTGGAGAGCAGCCCACCAGGACCATATCTGGACACAATTGGAGAAATTTGTGCTGGGAAAACTTCAACCACGTCATGGGACACAAACCAAGTGTGAGAAGGTGCTGCTGACTATTCCTTGGGCACAGAAGATGGACCTGTCTTGTTTCTGTTAAGAGAGGAATCAGTCAAGCAAGGACTTCAGAGCAGGGATGACAGGTGCTCAAGACTGAGAAATGCTGGCACTCAGGGAAAGAGAAGAGACAAGAAGGTGCCAGATGAAAAGCAGGACTGATGGAAGTGAATTCCATCCAGCTCAGGGCACTGATGAGAAAGATCCCAAATCAAGAAACCAGTGAAATAATACTTGGTAGAGCAGGAGACACACAAGGTGGAAGACAAATGGCAGAACTAGTGTAGACTGGGGTGATCCCAACTGGGGTCAGGGCACGAGAAAGTGAGAGCGTCTGGAAGAGTGACCTTCCTGAGGTGGCGAGGTTGAGTGATGCCACCAAGAATGCAGTCAGGAAACTTGAGCTGAGCTGGGTGCTGCCCTTGGCAAAGCACTTCCCCCTCCTATAACCCCACCACCCACAAAATGTGTTAAAAGAAAGGCTCTCCAGGGTCCTTTCCTTGGTTCTGGATAAGTTTTTCTCCAAACTTATTCCTGGCTGTAAGGATGATTAAACACGAGGGGGTGAATAATAAGGAAACCACTGAAATCTCAACTCAAAGATACATTTTAAACTTGACTGGAAGACCCGCGGCCAATACTTTGGTTGCCTGGAAACAAGAAAGGTGGTCTCCAGGAGCCCCCAGGGTTCTGCTAACCAAGAGGACAAGGGGGAAAATGGAGAGACTTGCCCTGGCCAGGGTGAGTGTGCAGAGGGAGGCAATAACACAGGCAAGAGACAGAGGAAAGCAACCCCAGCAGTTGCTGCTGTGACAAATCACTGGGCCCCAGCAGCAGGCGGCATGGTACCCACTCCTGTTCCCCAGGACTGGCTGCTCCATAAATTCTCTGTGCACCTGTGACCAACACAGCCCCTTTGCAGGCCCCATGGGATGTTTAAAAATTAGCAACATCAACTGCTTCCTTGTGACTGAGCTACAAGCAACTTCCGCGCCATGTCTTAATACCCTCCCTGCAAAACAATCTTGAGGTAGATACGATAATTATCCCCATTTCAGGGTGAGGGAAACCGAGGCTCAGTGAGGTCATTTGCCCGATGCTGCCTGACAAGAAAGCAGGAGGGTGAGCCCCTCCAGTCAGAGTTCCCTGTTGCAGAAAGATTCTCAGTGAGGCCTTGTCTATAAGGCCTTATTGCTACCCCAGGGTCAAAGGGTATCCTACCTCTGGCACAGAGGCCGGCCAGCGAGGCTGGGGCTGCTCCAGACACGGTAACCCCTGCCTCTTTTTCTGAGGGTCCAGCTTAGGGATGGCCGTCTGGTTCTGTGGCCAGAGCGCTAGGACAGCTCTGATGGGGTCAGGCTGGTGGGGGGGAAGGGGTCAGTGAGTCACCAGCAGGAAGGACAGCCCAGCATCCCAGAGCCAGGGGGTCCCATGAAGGGAAGGCCTTGGGGCCCGCGGGAGCTCAGTGCCCCATGCAAGCTTCAACCTCCCTACCGGTAGAGAGCGAACCTCCGTTTCTGACCCAAACCTGGGGTGGAGGGTGTGCAATCCAGTTTCCTGACTGTCCCTCCAGTGTAACAGCCATCCTACACTGAAAGTGGCCGACCTCCTTCCGGGTCCTCCTCACGTAGTTACCATGAACTGAAATCGGCCTCAAGCAGACCACTTCGAAAGGGCATCAGGTTATAGGCCCTTGCTTGTTCTCGTTACAATGTTACTTGTGTTTTAACCCTGTCCTCACCTGTAAGGGTACAGCTACTTACCATCAGGCAGTGGGAAGAACACTGGTCTTGGGAGGCAGAAAACCTGGCTTCCAGACAGAATCTCCCATAACCCTTGTGCTGCCGCCAGTGCTCTACCTCCCTTTGCCTCGGTTCCCTCATCTCTCAGTTGGGGAAAGTTGCCTGTCCCTAATCACCTCATCCAGGTATTGTATAAAAGGAGCCAAGTTCGGCAAACACCCTCTGAATTCCTAGGCAGCAGCACTCTGACCTTCGTTCATGGACCAGTGTTCCCATCCTTCCACCCCACCCCCAACCCCAGAGGCCCAGGAGCACAGCCAATTAGACAGCATCACTCAAGGCCCAGAACAGGATGAGCCTATATTCCAGCTGACTTGGCTGATGCTCTCAGTAAAGGTGACTCTGATAGAACCAAGGGGGAAAAGAAAAGCTTCTCCAGCAGCCAGAGGGGCCTCCATCTCGCCAGTTCTCCCAGATTACCTAGCCACACTGCCCCTTCCCCAGAAAGCTCTGGATCAATGATTTTGAAAACTGCTTAAGTCCTAAAGAGGCTTTTAAAATACCAAGAGTCCCCCCTCTACTCCACTCTCCACAGGCATCCCCTTCAAGCAACCCCCTGATTCAGTTCATCCCCATGAGTTCTGCAGAGGAGGAGGGCTTACACCACATCATCTGGAAAATAGATGCCTGTTCCGACACATATGACTTTAGTGGCCTCACAAATGCACAGAAAGAAGCAGATGACCACCTACAGAGTTAACTTGCGTGGACTTGCCAGGCAGCCCCACCACTGATCACGGTGCAAGCCAGTCTTGTGACAAGCGTGTGCTGGCAGGAGAGACTGGAGGGGATAAAGCAGGCAGCCTGGTCTGCAGAGGGTCGGGGACAGAGGGCAAGGGCAACGAGGAGGTGCACGGGGCAGGGGTGGGTTCAGGGAACCCGCTGCAGGACGAGCTCTGTAATCTCCGCCCTGCTGCCCAGTCGCATGGGTATCCCATAGTAGGCCGTACCTGGGCTCACATAAACAAATGTAGTCTGGGCCACTTGGTACAAACCAGCAAAGAAGGGGTTCAGGAGATAGGCTGCCACATTCAAGGGGAAGATCTGCCCAGCGTGAGTGTGCCCAGAAAGGATCAAGTTGATATCTGGCCGAGCCTGGAGAGCTCTCTTGGCAGCCAGGGGCTGATGAGCTAGCAAGATGGTGGTGTGGTCCGGGCTGCAGCCCCCCAGAGCCTTCTCGAGATCCATGCCATGGCCAGAGTAGTGCAGGATGTCTGCTTCGATGTCGTCCACCCCAGCCAAGCAGATCCAGTCATCATCCTCACCCCCGCCAGGCTGGGCCCGGGTGGCAGAAATCTTCACGTTCTGATTGTGAAGGGGCGTGACGTTCAGGGATTCCAGCAGTGCAAACCAGTTGTTGACATCTGATGTGTAGTACTCGTGATTCCCTGTGACAAAGTAGGTGCCGAGGCGTGAACGAAGCTGGCCCAGAGGAGCGACGGCTGTCCGGAGGACAGAGGCTTCGGCATCGCACAGGTCACCCACAATCACTGTGACATCCGGTTCCAGCGTGTTCACCATCTTCACGAACATCTCCATCTTGGTCCTGCCCACCGTGGGGCCCAAGTGGATGTCGGAGAGCAGCGCGATCTTGAGGTTGTCCATGGAGGCGGGCAGCCAATGGATGGGCACCTCCACGGTTTTCACAGCCGGGGGCTGGGCAGCGTTCAGCAGCCCTACCACACTGAGCACGGCGGACACCAGCACCGCCAGCGCTGGCCTGAGTGCCAGCTTCCTTGTCTTGTCAAGGCTGCCCACCACCCTGCCGGCGCGCAAGGCCAGGAGCTGGTAGGCCTGCTCCATGCCACTGAGGGTACAGAGGAAGCAGACCATGATGATGTATGCCCCGAGGCAGGAGTAGGCCATCAGAGAAAAGAGATAGGGCTCCTCGGCCACTAGAAAGATCATGGTGAAGAAACTGGAATGGGCCAGGGCCAGGAAGGCCACAACGGCCATCTTCCAAAGCTGGAAACAGGCCGACTCTGCAGCAGGGGCGTGGCTGAGGTTGCTGACGGTGCTTCGCCAGATGTAGAGGGAACCGAGGAGCATGAGCGAGTTGGCAAACAGGGCGAGCTGCAGGCGGAACAGCCACCGCCAGGCCCTGAGCTCAAGGCTCTCCGCCAGGTAGGAGCGGGAGATGACCATGGACACGAAGACAGTGCCGGCTGCCAGGGCGGCCTTTGCGCCCAGGGACAGCTGCCTGAAGATCGCCATCACCTCTGCTCCTAAGAGGGTCCCCTGCCAGTTCTGTGCAGGCGGGCTCTGGAAGGTGAGCTCCTTAGATAGGACAGTGGCCAAGGACAGGTTTCCAGGTCAGCTCCGCCTGCAACCAGGAACCGGCGTCAGCTTTGTGGGATATGAGAGCTTCCTTGTCCCCAGTCAAAACCTGAAGGCCACTTACACCTGCCCAACCCATCCTGAATCCAAGCCACTCAAATACCAGTCAGTTGCTACATTTTATTATTGAAATACAAACACACTGGATTATAACAGGATGGGCAGTTTCATTTTCTTACCGTTTTCTGTATGTTTCAGGTATTTCCATAATGCGTATGAACTTTTATAATAACAAAAACATTATTCTAAACCAGCGATTCTCAAAGTGTGGTCCAGGGAGACCCTTTCGGGGGGTCCATTAAGTCAAAACTATTTTCAAAAACAGTACTAAGGGGCTTCCCTGGTGGCGCAGTGGTTGAGAGTCCGCCTGCCGATGCAGAGGACGCGGGTTCGTACCCCGGTCTGGGAGGATCCCACATGCGGAGCGGCTGGGCCCGTGAGCCATGGCCGCTGAGCCTGCACGTCCGGAGCCTGTGCTCCGCAACGGGAGAGGTCACAGCAGTGAGAGGCCCGCGTACCGCAAAAAAAAAAAAAAACGTTATTGAGCCATAACCATTCTCTCATGAGTGTACAGTGAAGTTTTCCAGAGGCTACATGACATGTGATATAGCGAGAATGAATGCAGAATTAGCTATGAGAATCCAACTATCATCTATTAAGACAGACATGAAAGAGATCTGCAAAAATGTACAATGTCACTCTTTGCCCTAGAATTTGGGAAGAAATTATTATTTTTCAAGAAATATATAAAGTTTATTAACATATAACGATTTTACGGTTTCTTAAGTAAGTTAATAAATATTTTTAAATGTTTGGTTTTAACTTCTAGGACAGTTAATGTTTGAGAACCGCTGTTGTAAATAAATGTAAAGAAGGAAATCATGGAAAGCTAGTTGGCTGGTATCTTTTTCAGCTCTAGGCCCAGGAGGGACACCTAGACATCTGACATAAGGATTCCTGGGGTGAAGACGGCCTCCTGGCAGTCACAGGGCAGCCCCTGTGAATGATGCTGCACAAGGATAATGAGCAACCACAACATGGCAGGCTGCCCTGTCCCCCAGCTTCTCCTCCATAAATCCTTATCCCTCCAGTCTCACAACCCTCCTAGATATCGGTTAAGATCTGCCTTCTCCCCATCTTTCTCTGCCACTGAATCCTTGAACTATTCTCTTGTGGCTCTCATAGCTGGCTAGTTCCCACTCCAGGGCTCCCAGACAAAAAACTGGGGCAGGGGAAGCACAGACCCAGGTAGACAAAGGTTAGCAAATAGTCATTTGAGGTGACCTTTCCCCAAGAAGAATCCAAAATGAAAATATTTTCAGCAGTTGTTTTCCAAATAAGATTCTTAACCTCAGTTTAAGATAGATAAATTATATATATATATATATATATATATATTTTTTTTCCCCCCTGCCCTGCGCACTTTACTGAAAGCCTTTTATCAAAGGTGTAACTTGCAAGTCAAAGTTCACCATTTTCCACTTATAAAACCAGTCCCAGACTCAGCCCACCCGAACTCTGGAGGAACCAAAGTTGGTTCCCTGAACATGCAGAGACAGGCGCCCGTTTAAATCCCCCGGTCCCTCCCCACTCGGATCCACCCCACCTTTCCAAGGCCGTGATGCTGACCTTCCCAGGAGCGATTCGGAGTTCCCTCGGCCCCTGCCTTAGCTCTGCCGGGTGGACTGAGGCTGTAGTTCTCCCGCAATCGTGCACGCCCCGCACCGCCCAGCACCTCGTCCCGCCAGACCTCCCTCCAGCAACGCTGGCGGCTACCTGCAGCCTGCCTCTTGCCCACCGCCAAACCCTGAAGGTTTGGAAAATCCAAGCCTTAAAAAGTAGGCGGCGGGAAGGGCCGAGAAGGGCACGAGAGGTCCGAAAAGAGACCACCTCGAAGGTAATTAATCCAATGTTCCCATTGCGGGGGCCTCTCTTGACCCCATTTTTCTCCTTCCGGAGCGCTCTGTAGAGCGCTGGCAAGGGAGGGCGCGCCAAGCCAGACAGAGCCCAAGGCGCCCTCCAAGAACGCGCGGTACTTGGAATCCCCCTCCCGGAAACCCGCAAAGCTGGAAAGCACCTCATCTCAGCCCCTCATTGCACCAATAAGGAAGTAGGTCCCAGCGAAAAGAGGCGGCAGGGGCGGAACACACGAACGACAGAGCTACCGGTAAGGAAGCCCGCTCCGCCCGGCCGGCCCTCTGCCGGTTCAGCCCACTGCCTGAGCTCCCCGCGTGGCCTTGCGGGCCCGGGCGCGCCTTGGGGTCCCAGGACCTCCGCCCTTTGGGACCCCAGGTGGCCGCAGCACCAGCCCGGTCCCCCGCCAGCCTTTCCCCTATCCATCATTCCTGCGCGGGGGTCCTGTGGACTTACGTGCAAGCCACGCGCAGAGCCCAGCAGCAGCGGCACCAGCAGCAGGGAGAGGATGCGAACGACCCCCGGCATATCCACCCTCCGGCCTCCTGGCTCCACTGTCAGCGCCCGGGCAGCCGCCGGGTGTCACTTGACTGAGGACCTGCGGCCTGGCACCGCCCCACGCCGGCTCCGCCCCGCGCCCCGCCCAGCGGCCGCCGAGCCCGGAACCCAGGGAGGCGGGAGCCTGGGGCCAAGCGCTGCCGCGTGACAGCAGGATGGTGTTATCTGGCACTGGCAGGCTTCAGCCGGAAGGAGGGGCCTTTTGCAAAGACCCTCAGGAGGCCTGGCTGTTAGCAGCTTGATAACGCGCCTCGGGGTTGGACTTTAACAGGGGTGTGCTTGCTCCTTGGCTCCCTTGACAGGACAGAAGAGGGAAGTTGAGGCCAGATAAACCTAAGTGGACTAGATGGACTCCCAGCCCTGCCCACGGGGCTGTCCGGAAGACTAAACCAGGGGCCTGCAAAGTGTGATTCCCTAGACCAATCCTGTATCTGGTACGTGTTAGAAATGGAAATAGCAGGCCCTCGCCCAAGAAATTCTAGGGGTGGGATCCAGAAATCTGTATTTTTACAAACCCTCCAGGTAGTTCTGATGCACGCTAAAGTTTGAGAACCACTGTTGCAGGTTATTGATACATTTAGAGGTGTGTTTCAACTGTGGCGAAAGCTTTCTGAATGCCAACCCTCAAAGCACCAGGGGCTGCGGAATTTTTATTTCATCGTTGGGTTTTGAGAGACAAGAGTAGCAACACCTCCCATCTTTCAGTTTTGCCCTTGAGCCTCTCAACATCCCTGCGATACCGCAGATCTATCAACTGGGCATAAAATACAAGTTTTATCCAAGTTTTCCACTCGTGAAAACGAAGTCTCTACTGTGTGAGTTAACGTGTCCAGGACCGCTGGTTAACCACTAGATATGAGTCTGAAGTTGTCTTTCCTACCTAGTTCCCTGAACTCTCTGAAAATCCCCCCTTTCTCAGAGGAAGGAGCCTTTAGGGAAATCGATTTCAAATATATGTATTTTTCCAGCTTTATTGAGTTATAATTAACATTCAACAAAATTCACTCATTTTAAATATTTTCGACTTTTATATTGTTAACTTAGTTTTGAAAAATAAAAATGTAGGGTTAGGGGATTCCCTGGTGGTCCGGTGGTTAGGACTCGGCGCTTTCACTGCGGTGGCCTGGGTTTGATCCCTGGTGGGGGAACTAAGGTCCCACAAGTCTCAGGGCGCAGCCAAAAACAAAAAAAACACAAATGTACGGTTAAATTATGCGGTCTATTGACAGACTCCTAGACTAAACTTTAATTAGGCTCCTCTGACTAGAGACTCTTTTAAACTCTTCTAGACCTGGACCTTGGCCTTCTGTGCCTGTCCTGTCCTTGCCTGCCCTGCATTGTCCAGTCTTAGCAAAGAATCCTGCTAAGTCAGTTTAGGAACAGTCCCCCAATTCTTGTTATCTGATCAAGGTCCTCATCCCCACCCCACCTCCCTTTGACATCTAAGTCCTTGACCTCCCCTTAGCAAGAATCGCTTGAGATCTCCTCATAATTTTTCACCAACAAGCCCTTCTCTCTGCTGGCTGTAAATCCCCAGCTATCTTTTCTGTACTTAGAATTGAGACCCATCCCTCCCCACCTATGGCAGTAGAGTTGACCCTTATTACAAAAAAGTCTTGAAGGAAATCTTCCTTACCATTTTAGCAAGTGTCAGAATAATTCTTTTCTTTAGCACTATTTTTTACAACTTGTGCATCTTTTTAAAACTTAGTCTGGTTTTTAACACTGTCAGCGATGATTATAAAAGTCAAGAATAGTGGTTACTTGTGGGGGTGAGGGCCTGAGATTGGGAGGGGCCCCATGGAAGGGCAACAAAGTTTTGTTTCTTGAACTAGAGGGTGGTTACAAGGGTATTCGCCATTTAGTCCTTTTTTTGTTTTGTGTTGCTTTCTGGGTTTTTTTGGCCTTGCCGTGCAGCCTGTGGGATCTTAGTTCCCCGACCAGGGATCAAACCTGAGCCCCCTGCACTGGGAGCACAGAGTCTTAACCACTGGACAGCCAGGGAAGTCCCTCATTGCCTGACTTTAGAGCCTGAATTATTTTTTATTTTTATTTTTTAATTGAACTATTGTTGATTTATAATGTTGTGTTAGTTTCCGGTGTACAGCAAAATATATTCTTTTTCATATTCTTTTCCACTATAGTTTATTAGAGCCTGAATTACTTTTACAAGGCCATGCTTCTGTGCCTACTTTACTTATAGTTCCTGTCCAAGTGTGCATATAGAGTGTGTGCTGGTGTGTAAACCTCCTGCTCCAGGTTGTGGGGAATATGAAGTGATCTTGAGAAGGCTATCACCCCATAGGGAATCATTTCCAGTAGAAAGATGTCCACATACACAACTATATATGGGGCATGCTCTGATATAGACCAGTGCTACTCTAAGTGTGGTCCGAGGACCAGTGACATAAGGTAAGTACAGAAATTCAGAGTAGGTATTTGGAAACTTACAGCAATTTGAGAAAGCTTGTCTGTTGCATCTAATAATGAAAAAATTAGATGTGAATTTTATGTCTATTTTTATTTATTTTTTCTAGTAATTTATTGTTATAGATTTGTACAACCAGATCAGTCCTTGAAGGATGGGAAAGAGCACTGATAATCACAGAAACAAAAGTGATCCTTCACCAAAGGTAGCTTGAGAAGCACAGAGGCCTCATCAGTAGCCTAAGAACAATGAAGGGAAGAGACATATGCGACCCAATAACAGGTAAAAACTTTGTTTTTCTATCCTAACAGGGCTTTGCACAAGTTAGAATAAATTGGGAGATTGGGATTGACATATGCACCCTACTATATATAAAATAGATAACTAATAAGGACCTACTGTATAGCACAGGGAACTCTACTCAATACTGTTATTACCTATATGGGAATAGAATCTAAAAAAAGAGTGGATATATGTGTATGTATAACCGATTCACTTTGCGGTACAGCAGAAACTAACAGAACATTGTACATCAACTATACTCGAACAAAAATTAAAAATAAATAAATAAAGTTTTAGAACAAGAATCAATCTCCCTTTGAATGACCTGTTTTCCATTGTGGTCCTACAGAGCTTTCCTCAGGTTCCAGTGTCAGTTCTTTTCTTTTCTTTCTTTTTTTAAAAAATTTTTCTGGCCTGTACCGCTTGGCATGTGGGATCTTAGTTCTCTGACCACAGAACAAACCCAAGCCTTCTGCACTGGAAGCTCAGAGTCTTAACCCCTGGACCACCAGGTAAGTCCCCCAGTGTCAGTTATGATCTGTATTTCAGTGGAAAAATTTAGCTAACTTTACATTTCTAATATTTTTAAAGTTCTATTAAAATGATTGTAATTTGCAATAGGTTTTAGGAATACTAAATGATAGATGTTAAAAGCAAGGAAAAAACAAGGCCTCCACTAAAAAGAAATGACAAGTAAATGCAGTGCCTGATCCCAGATTGGATCATGAACCAGGAAAAATTGCTACAAGAGACATTATTGGGACACTTAACAAAAGTTGAATATAGACTATGGATTAGAAAATAATATTGTATCAAGATTAAATTTTCTAATTTTGATAACAATACAGTGGTTATGTTCTTGGGAAATACACTCTGGGACTTCCCTGGTGGTGCAGTGGTTAAGAATCCGCCTGCCAATGCAGGGGACACGAGTTCGATCCCTGGTCTGGGAAGATCCCACATGTCGTGGAGCAACTAAGCCCGTGCGCCACAACTACTGAAGCCTTCGCCTAGTTGTGAACCACAACTAGAGAAAGACCGCGTGCAGCAACTAAGACCCAACACAGCCAAAAATAAAAATAAATAAATAAATAAATATAAAAAATTGTTTAAAAAAATCACACACACACACAAAAAGGTAATACACTCTGAAACATTAAGGGGTAAAGGGGCATAATGTCTGCAACTTCCTCCCCAATGATCATATGTATATGTTTATATATATAATTATACATAATATACATATTATTACATGTACATGATTATGGAGCAAATAAGGGCAAATAAGACAAAATGTTAACAGTTGATGAATTAGGTAAAGGACATATAGCAATTCTTATATGAAAATAAAAAGTTATTTAAAAAATAAGTAATAAAACCTACTGCCAACAGATGTGGACAATTCTGATGTGCAGCAATTCCTCATGCTTCTCACAAGTCTTTGAGTTTTCTGATACAATAAGTCCCAAGACCTGTATCCTGGGGTTAAATTGTGCAACCAACTGATGGGTATGGTTATGAAACAATAAAAAGATAAAATTGTGAAATCATTGGCAACAGTTTCCCCACAATCCCAATAAAAGTTAGCAGCTGTGTCCCAGGACTGGCCCATCCCTCTTGACAGTCATGAGCACTAGGATGCCCTTGTCACCATGTCCTCAAACTCCCTTTCAGGAGTCTGAGATCTAAAAACAAATGCCCCAAGTGAGGCCGGCCTTAGTGGGTGGGGGGGAATGACTTTGTTTTAAACACTCTCTCTCCTACCTTCTTTCGCCTTCACTATCTGGCAAAAGCATCTGCTTCCCTAGGGTCTCCCAGATGCTTCTTTGCAGTGTTGTTTTTTTCCCCTTCGTGTTTGATCTAGGCCTGTTGTTTCTTCTTCGTCTGGGCCCCCGGATTTAGCCCCCTCTGTCTTTATATCCACATCTGCAGCCGTGGTTCATGTCTCTGGATGATCACAGTAGTTTTCTAGCTCAATCGAAGGTTACAACTAGATATGGCCAAAGGGCTATTTGTTTTGACAGTCACCATGTGGACCCATCGGTGTCTTAAATTTTATATAATCAATGGAATTGTCAATATTTAATCAGGAGAATTTACATAATCTGGATTTCCAGTTTCGCTTCAAAGATCAGGTTTGGCCATACCAGGGTAACAGTAGATCAGAGATATGCATTGGGACATTCTTTAGGCAGGTAGGTTCTTCCAGTTGGGAACAATCTCCATCTGGTCCACTGCTCTTTTGACATGGCCTGCAGGCCCCATGAGAGATTTAAGTTTTTAATTTCTGGGTCAGAGAGTTTCTGTGGTCATTTGATCACAACCTCTCTGACTGCTATAT